TAGAAGATCAGAAATAATCACTATGAAGGAACTACTTCCATACTGAACTACTGAAATGTGCTATAAATTGATATATATCTAATGTTTCTCCATGGAACGATATCAACAACTTCAAGTCTAAAATAGCTTTTTAAAATGCCAAGACTCACTTTGTATAAGTAAATAGTCCTGAGCTGTGGAATTTTAATGTTCAATTAAAGAAATTTCCTCCAAAGAAAAGTTTTACCCTGCAAATTCCATTTTTATGAGATTATGGCCCATTTTTATTCCTCACAGGTTGAGTGCTGCATTGAGGTTTAAACAGAAGTAAATTGCAAACTATTCTTTAATGTTTTGTGTTTAAACTAGAATCTGTGCTAAAATAAAACACCACTAGGGCAAAATGCATGTTCATTATTCTGAAAGCTTCTCTGTTATTTTATCACCTACTTCTCTAATATAATAGCTTTCTAGGTTATCAGTTATAATGGAAATACCTGGCAAAAGCTCTGTTCTTGGTTGTACCTGCACTCAGGGGTAGCAATACTAAAATTTACTTCATGTTCTCTAGCACCGTAAGGAAGGCTGGGACATTTCCTAACCCTCTATGTGTCCTCCATCCCAAGCATCTGTGTTCAAGGCACCGTGAGGCCTCAGGAGACAGAGGCACATTGGATACACCCCTTGCCCTTAAGGAGGCCACAGTCTAGTTGAGGAAACAGACCAGCATCTCATTATGAACCAAACACTGGAGTTGGTGCCATGACAAAGGGCTTTAGGAGCACAGAAGGGTGATTAATTTTGCCAGGAGTGGGGAGTTAAGGGAGGTGACACCATGTAAAAGCTTCTGAGCTCAGCTGTAAAGGATGAGTAGGATTTTGATAGGCAGGAACCACATGGCAGGACATTCCAGGAGGCCTAATTCCTGGCTTAATTGGTAAATGTTCTGAATGGTGCCCGAGGGATAGTAACAGAAAGTAAATAAGTCATGACCAAATTTTCCAGGGTCATAAATTTTATATTTAGAGAATGTGAGGTTTTATCTATAGTTGATTGAGATCAGATGACAAGGGTGGAAAATCATCCCTAAAGCCAATGAAATCCATTAGGAACCTGTAGAAAATAACCCTGGATTATTTTATAATATCAGAAATATCAAGTTCATGAAGAAATAATCAGAAATATCAAGTTGAAGAAATATCAAGTTCATGATCTAGGCCCATGGCAGTGAGACGGGGGATTACAGATCTGAAAGGTGCTGTAGAGAGAGAAAGTAATGGTCTGAGAGTCAGATGAGATGTGGAAGATGAGTGGAAGGGAGGGGCTGATGACTCTTGGGTTCCATGACTGGGTGCCTGAGCAGTAGGGGGATAACTCTAAAGATCAGCAGTTTTGTAGGGGATATAATGATTTAAGTTAAGGACATGTGCTGTAGTGCAGTAGATACAGATGGGGATTTCTAGTAGCCCTAAAACCTAGATAGTTTTTAGAGCTAGAGAGAAAAGTCTCCGAGGCCTCTCTTTTCATGAAGGTGAACACTGAGATATGAGAGGTAAGGTCACCCATACAGAGCAAGATCAAGAGACTAAAAAAGAATCTACAGGGTCATCTCTAGTTAAGCAATGGAATCTTTGTGTCCCTTGGTCATTTTAATATTGTCTTTATTTAATCTAGTTTTTATTTCTCTAATTTGAAGTTTAGTATATATGTAATGAAGAATAGAAATCTAAGTTGATTCCTATAACAGAACTAATGGCATAATAAAACGAATAAATAATATTTATATAGCCCTCTACAGTTTACAGAGCCCTTTCATACAGCCCAGAGAACTGCAGTCTCAGTGGAAAAAACACACATACTATTAGCAACACCTTCTAGCCTCCCTTCTGAAGCATCGAACTCCAATATTTTGTGTGAGTTTCCTCCGTTTCTTGCTGGCTCTTGGTATTATTTATGGAATTATTTTCACGTTACCTAATCCTCACAAAATTTCAGATAAGCAGGTCTGATCCCCACGTTACAGAGGAGAAAGTCAGGGAGACCAATTGATTTGACACAACTAACGTCACTGTATTTGTATTATATTTAAGTGAATTAACCCAACTTTCATAATAGTTACCCAGTAAATATTAATTATCTATTACTATAAGAGTTTATCCCAAACTCAGCAGCTGAGGACAGCAATAAATGTGTCATCTCACACGGTTTCTGCAGGGAACTCTGAAGTGGCTAACTGCATGGTTCTGGGTCCGGGTCTTCTGTGCAGTGGCAGCTAAGGTGATAGCCGAAGCTGATGGTCTGACCGAGGCTGGGGGTTGGGCTGCCCATGTGCCTGTTAAGTTGGTGCCCCCTGGCAGGAGGCCTTCATTCCTCCTTGGTCACATGGGCCTCTCCATAGAGCTGTTTGAGTGTCCTCACAACATATAATCTGCTTCCCTCAGAGGGAGTTGTCCAAGACAGCAAAATGGAAGAGACGATGTTATTTAAGGCCCAACCCCTGAAGTCACACTCCATCATCTCTGCAAGTTCCTATTGGTTGCACAAGTCCGTCTAATTCAGAGTGAGAGGGGACTACACAGGAACACGAATGAACACCAGGAGGGGAAAGAACAGGATCACTGGGGCCCCCTTGAAGCCTCACTGCCGCACCCTATTATTTATCTCCACTGCTTTCACTGTGTACTTCCAGGATTTATGACTCATTCTTATACAAGTTAAAGACTCTCTGAAGAGATGTTTTTCTTTAAGCATGTTATAATTCAGGACTTGAATAACATTTTTCAAAATTCATGAAAATGTTTCAAGCCTCTGGTATACAAAAATGTATAATCAAATAGTAAACAGTGGCTTTTCCAATTAAGGAAACTTAAATGAGGAGGTGCCCCATCATACTTGGTAATGAATGAAACCTTTAAATGGACTATTCTTGCCATTTATCTGTTGGAATCATTCAAATAAATTGCATCCAACAAGTCCTCTGGAAATCACCCAAGTGAATAGAATGTGCCATTAATCAAGATACCAGTTAAATGAATTCTACACTTTTCGCAGCTGCACAAGGGAAAGATTATGTATTTTCCACCTTATATTTTAGGATTTAAAAAGACACGAAGTACTAGCAGACAGACTTAGTTTACATGCAGCTTCCATGTTTTGCATAAACTCTCAGTAACTAGCCCCTTCTGTGAAATGTTGATAGTGATGGCCGGAAGGGTGGCCCTGGCTTACCCATGACAAAACCAAGGCTTTCACCACAACAGTGGTGTTTACACACACCTTTCCCCTCGTGCAGTTTCTTATTTAAGCGTATGCTGAAGTGTGCCTGTCTGGTGTGGCTCAGTTGGTGTGGCTCAGTGCTTAAGCATCAACCCATGAACCAAGAAGGTCACAGGTTCAGTTCCCAGTCAGGGCGCAAGCCCAGGTTGCGGGCTTGATCCCCAGTAGGGGGCGTGCAGGAGGCAGCCCATCAATGATGTTTCTCTCTCATCAATGTTTCTCTCTTTCTCTCTCCCTTCCTCTCTCTTTCAAATCAATAAAAACATACTTTTTAAAAAACATGCGGGAGTGTCCCTTAGCCATAGCCTAAGAAACCTTGATTTTACTCCTGTTCAAGCTACTGTCCCATCTCACTCTTTGCTTGCTGTCAGATTTCATGAATAAGAACAATAGCCATTTTCCTGGCCTCCCCTTCCTCATCGCACACCACGCTTCAGGCCCTCACGTCCTCTCCACCCCTTCTCCGCTAAAATTGCTCTCTCACAATCCAGCAACAACCACGTGAATTTAGGAGCATCGGGTGCTATTGGTATCCCCTTACTTCCTAAATCTTCATTTTGTGGCACACGGCCATTCACTCTGTCGATCTCCACGGAGCTCTGGGTCTTCTTCATGCTTCCCGTGGTCATAAAGTACAAACAAAAGCAGCATTTTTGTTTTCTTGGCCACTATCCCCAGCCTAGCCCTCTGCATTCTCCGCCTTTACGTTCCCATCTCTGGCCTCAGCTCCAGCCATCTTCTCGAGATGGACATGTCCTGCATCTGTCATTTCAGCTCTGGTCTTTCACCCAAGCTCCACGTCCTCGGAGCACTTCAAACTCAGTATGTCTAGAACTGAACTTGTCATTCCCATGCTCCTGTCACATTGTACCATTTCCCGGAACTGCATCGGTCCACCAAGTCACCTGCATGACCGTTCACCCTGACCTTCCCTTCCCCCTTGCACTTAACGTTTTGGGAACCCCTGTGAGATCTGCCTTCCTGGCCTCCTGCACCCACCCCTCCCCTCCTCTCACTCCCATTGCTGTACTCAGTCTATACCTCTTGCCCAATCTCTAGGGCAACTCTCTTATCCAAAGCTGCTGGCCTCCAAGTTCCTAAAGCAAGTCCCACACGTGACTCTTCTTGCGCACGTAGCCTTGTCCTCCATCGCCCGCACTTTTTCCTTTGCCAAGAATCAGCCCTTTTCCCATTTAAAATTCCCCAATTCACATCTATCTCTCCAGGTTCAAATCAAATCCCACTTTCTCCATAACTTTACAGGCGGGCACTCCTTCCTTTCTTAAAATAGTTGCTTCATCCGCTTTACCCTCTCATATCGTTAAGCATTCTGTACCTTTGGGGGCACATCTCATTTCATGCTTTATTTTTTTGTCCTTTAGCTTCCCAAATTGGTTGTAAGAGGCCATGGTCTTATTTTATTCAGATGTCCCCGCCGCCCTTCCCTGCCATCGCCCACAGTTAGTTCTATGGGAATTTGCAAGGTGTAGATTTATTATTGGGTAAATGATTCTTAATAACAAGACTTTTCTTAAAACCCAACAGCATATTGGATGCACACTCATGTATTTTTTTCTCCCATAAGTTGATTGGAGAGCGCCTTCCACCCCACTCAGCTGCGCCTGGTCACCTCTGGAAGCAGCTGGATACGGGGGAAGCGGTGGTTGTGCTTGGAAATTGCTGACCGCTGGGCTTTCGTTCGAGTTGCGTCATGTTCTCATGGCCCACCCTGCTTCTCGTTTCAGGGAGAGTGGGGGAGAAGAAGGAGCAGAAAGCAGCGTCAGGTAAGGTTGTGACTAACTGGCTTCAGCTCTACGCCCTGCTTTTATTTCCACTTAAAAAAACATCTGTTTGCAGTTCAGTGTTCAAAGTAATAGTTTATGGCCCTTGAATTGATTGATACTAAATGAATTAAAATAAATGAATGCATTTGGCGTTTTCACTTTTCACATCAGTCATTTCCTTTTCATTCTATCGTCCTATTAAAAAAATGAAATGAAATGTTATCTATTTTTTCATGATTATCTATTAAAAGGTAAGTCTTGCAACCACCAGTTTTAAAATATGGAAGCTGTAATAGTTGACAGCCATTTTATTTCCCCAAACACCTATGAATTTCAGTTTTCTCAAAGCCATGTATGTAGTTGATGTTTTTCAGGACAGTACTGACTACTTAACTTAAGAGGAGAATCTTTTTTTTTTTTTTAGAAAATTTTTAAGAATTATTGTATTTCTAAATTCTAATATGTATCCAGAAGTGAATGGAGCCATGGCACATAGTAGGGGGTCAATATTTGCTAACTAATACAAAAAATAAGTTTTTACATTTCTATATTTTCATTACACGGCTTTTGGCTTAAAATTGTGAGATAAGATAGATTTTCATTTACCAAGTAAATCTTTGCATAGGAGCAGTCTTCCAGCTCCCAATGCCCATAAATTGCCAATAATCATAGAAAGTTCTAGTTTGACATATATGCCTATGCCCACCAATCTTCCCAAGTCTCCACCAACCATTATTCTATGATCTGTGAGAGCTGCCAACATAAAGACACATTGAGCCAAACCACCATCTTCTTTCAACTTCATCTTTTGTCTGGTAACATGTATTTTATGTGTTTCCAGTCAGTATATTCAATAAAAGAACAAAAATAGGTATTAATCTAAATGTGTATAAATAACCTATGTCCCTTTCTCATTTCTCCTTCCCAGCCTTGGCATTCATATTAGACAGCTGGTCAACTTCCTAACTGCATGACTTTCCTCTTAAAGGTTATTGTTTACATTCCCTTTGTGTGTGTTTTAGAGCCTGATCATGGATATAAAAACAAAGTGAAGGCAAGAAAGTGCCTGGTCTCCTCACAAATGTGGTTACTTCATTATTGTGTCTTGAGGGAAAGTGCTATGCTATGATCCTGTAGATACTGGCTTTTTTAATTAAAGAAGCTTTATAGTTCAGGAGAAAAAACTAAATTGGCCAATGATAAACCAGATGCCTCTTTAAGGTTCCTGCATATCCTAGCTTCTAATATTCTGTATGACCAAGGTGATACTAAGGCCTGGTAGAGAAAGAGGCAGGACATGAACTCATGTTTCTTCATTCATTCTTTCCAGTGTCCCACCATCCTAACTTTTCTTCCAAATCAAAGTGTTAGTCACTTTGATACTGTGTTCAGTATCATTTTATTTCTTGCTTAATAAAATGTTTTTCAACAGTAGGAAACAAATTTTAAGGCAATGGTATCTTTGGCAGGGAACATTAGCCATCAGGATTATAAGAAACTCCCTTTATTAATGGAGCTAACTTGCTCAACTGATTCACAGCTTGTTAATATTTCTGATTTTTATGAGAAAGTGAAGTCGAGGATAACTAATAGATAGAGCTCAAATTATTGGGGAAAATTTTTAGGCCCCTCATCATTTCAAAGAACATGAATCCTGCCCTGAGAAAATCTGTTATTTGTGAAAATAGTCTAGGTTTCAAAACTGGGAGATAACCTTTGCCAATGTAGTCATAAATATCACCATGTTCAGTGTCTGATGCTAGTCTTAATATATACATCCTTGGATAAAACCATGCCTAAGATATCAAAAACATCTCTATTCTGACTTCCTATCTGGACTTCTTTGTATCATTTGTTATTCATTCTGCTCAGATTTTTTGTCCTGCCTGCTGGATTCTAGACAATACACACCACAGCCTCTGGCTTATAGTGAGTCCATCTCCCAGCTACGAGAGATCAGTATTAGGTGCTGGCCCTTCAATCTACCCTATCCTATTGCACTGCTTGTGACTGAAACCAAAGAATTTAGGGGGGAAAAAATATTGTAGACAAAAATATTCCCTGTTAGAACAGCATCTCCCAGGACCTTGAGTTTTAGTTAAGGCTGGTTAAATCGTTGTTTAAAGAATCTTGCACTAAGATGAAAATTACAGAGATAAATTTTTGCTCAGGATAAGAAATAACTTCCTAACCAGGAAACCTCCCCAAGACTAGAAAGAATGAGATGATGTTAGTAGAACTGTACAGAGAGAACTGTACAGAGGTTGGGCAATCATCTGTCAGGAAGACTGACAGGAGGTTTGGATCATTCCTAAGATTTTTCCAATTTTATGTCTATGATTCTATTTGTCATTATTACTTTACTGAAATGGCTCTACCATGAGTACATGGTGAACACACACACACACACACCGGCAATGGCTCACATTTCATTATATGACCAAATGAATCATGTTCCAAAGTTTAAGCTTTAGTCTGGACTGAGTTGCTCAGTAGAGCATATAGCTAATTGGGATTAAGACTATGGAATAAAATTGTCCAATAGTTTATTTAGCTTCTTTTGGGGAGAAAGTTGTTTCCACCCTGATGCACTTTTTTTTTTTTTTTTTTTTTTT